CAGGTATGCTCACTCCTGGGTGTCCTACGTTGAGGCTGACAAAGTCCTTTTGCTTGATCTAAAACTTCATCTATAGTGACCGTTCATCAAGGATTCATTCGTTTGTTCGGTTCGAGCGGTCAGAACTTTCGGTATGTAGATCCAGTCATGGTATCCTGAAGAAAAATACTAAACTGTGTTAAACCCGAACTTCTCCTTCTCACATGGTTGATAATTGATCATATCCGTGGAAAGGTTGTTCTCAAGGTTTGTTGGTCCTCCATTTTAGTCCAGGGACTTAGCGGTTTCACGAATTCGCTGCTTAAGCGCAAACTTGTGCATAGTGCAGTGTATCGCAAGTTTTGATTAATGGATCAAGATGGGCGCGAGGGGAGGGACAATCTGATCGGGCAGATGAAGTAGGCAGTGGAGTGCGATGTTCACCTCCACGAACACAATAGTGTAGAGAGGTTGATCAACCCACTTTGATTTTGTACGGTCAAAGTGCCCCGCCCTACCGTACTAAGTGTGCTGCTATCACAAGCTCACAAATGCACACACACAGACGCTCAGTGGTTTTGTAGCCTCTTTATGGGTCAGTTGATCTGGGACATGGTGATCGTGTAAACACAAAAACGGTCTATTCCAAAGGACAACGCATCTCCTTTATTCACCACGAGGTGGTGCTGGAAGGGAAGTGGGTGTGGGGTACGACCGTGACGAACATCGCACGTCATCGATTGGGCTCGCGCACGACAGAGAATCCTAAATCTCCGTTTGACAAGTGACACAGCTCGGACACGAATCAGCTTAACTCAGTGCGTTTGTTTACGCGATAAGCGAAATGCGAGTGTTGAACGCGATCGGACATCCCGTGGTGCGTGCCCCGCATCGCATCCACATTTAGCCATCACACCCTTTACTCCCCTCTCCATAAACTTGACCGCAAAGATAATGTTCCATTATCCTCACCTAATGCGTTTTGGGATCAAGGGGAGGACCTTGGTGAAAAGAAATCGGTGTAGAACGGACTGATCACCTGTCTTACATGGTGATATTGAAGGACTAGTCTGAACCCGTTGGCAATGTGTTGAAAGCTTGTCATCACTTCCCATCACAACCCTGATGTGACCACCACAGAGAGGAAGTCAATTACTGGGATCCAAGGCCGCAACATCCACTTGGGGCTACATTTTTGAGTCAAGAAAATTCAGGCTATCCACTGGTAGCTCACGTCTTATCTTGACTGGGTTGTTTTGATGTTTTGGTGTCGAGAATCGCTCTTCTGAGATGTTGCTCATGTTGAGTTTGAAATCATTTAAAAAGCACGTATATTGATTACCATAAAGCAACCTTCATCTGACTAGCTCGTTCTCTCTCACACACTCGCTTTGTAGCCTATCTAGCTTTGATTTACCCCCAAAGCGTTGCTGCGATATATAAAGTTTGAAGTTCGCATTGTAACCAAGCTATTAATGCTCACAAGATTAATTGAACTCAGCGTGTATGTTCGCCAGTTCATATCCAGTGAAATAACATCACTCCTACCCGTTTCGTTTTATGAGGGTTACGACAGTATGTTTCGTGACCTGCACCCATCCTCACAACTCGAGATTACAATCTCTCACACAAGTTGAACGTTCGCGAATTAGCAAGAGTCGTTGCTAGTGACAAAAGATCGTGCTGAAGTCGGATGAAGTCATCTAACAAGGGTTGGGTGGTGATTTGATCACGGAGTGGGGTTTGGCTGCTCATATAACACAATAGAAACATGGGTCCCGTCATAACAAAGACAGGTCATTAGTCGTCCAGTCTAGGATAACTATAGAAACTTCAACTGATTTCTCTTATCCGCTACTTGAACAGCAGGTCAAATGTTTATCAATCTGATGAATGAAATGGCATGCTGATGTGCATGTCGCCCTTTGTCCTCTGCACATTGTGGAAAGGATGAAAATGCATGATTTTTCAAACATTTTAACTAGTCGAATAGACACACAACAAAACCGCTCGTTGTAACACATCAGTGGAAAAGATCTGTGATTTGCTGGATGGCTGACACCGTAAAGAAATCTAACAAGCTCCCAAGTAACCTTAATAATTCATTGTTAAACCGATTTTTCATCCCCTTTAGAGTTGATATAATCGAATATGCCTCATGCACGCGATCACCGTGATCTACAGACGATCACGGGGAATTTATTGTCAAGAATCCGGCAATCTTCGATTCACTCCTTCACCTGGCCTTCAACCAAACTAATAGTAGGATTTAAACTTGTGAGGATGTATCAGTGATTCTGATCAAACACACGGAATCTTGACCTAGCACCCGTCCACCTTAGCATCGGTACTGTTGTCAAATTCTTTTTCGGATGATGCATACCCCGAAATAGTATCATCATCATCATCATCATCAATTTGTTAGCACCAGCATACAGTCTAACCAGTTCAGTGTACATTCTGTCCAGCAGTCGCACAGAACACTTGAAAAATTCATACAATAACAAAAAACAGCTCGTGAAACTCATCAACAGAATCGGAAAGTTGGGGTGAAGGACAGAAGTGTGAACAAGAAAATTTCATGCAACGTGCACTCATGGTACGTCATTCGCTCTTCGATAGTGAGTATGCGACAGCGGATAAATTCATCGGCACTCGTCAGAAATGTTTTGAAAACTCATACGTATATATTTAGGTACACACAACCTTTCAGTGCATCTATGTGCAGTATAACCTAGGCATTCCGTGCAGACTCAGTAAACCTACTAACCACCCAAATTGCCAAACTAGCTTCAGCTATTTTATGGATATCCAAGGCTTATTTACTGTGACTGTGAAAGGAATGGAGGGATGACCGCACCTCTATGCACACAGCGGGAAAACTTTTGTTTTTTTATAGAGGTGACATTCGATCACCGAAACGTCGGATCGAAAATTGTCACTTCGAATTGTGATGCCTTTGTCAGGGTTCTTCTTCTGCTACTAACTAGGATTCTGTATGCTCAGACGTGGTATGTGTGATCCGCGAATTGGGAATCAATCGATTTCGCGAAAGCTGTGCGTGGGTGGATCGATCCGTGCCCAATGGCGTGCTGACCTATCGATGCAATTATTCAGAATGAGCGAAGAAGTTTCGAATATCGGTCTAACTAATAATTTGATGGGCCAGTAGTGGGTACCGGCAGGTATCTTGCTAATCTCAAATGGGTGACCATCCCAGGGTTTAAGGAATGTTGGTGATAAATAATAAAATAAAAATAAAATAATTATTATTTGATCGGTGAGTACCGATGATTTAACCACCTCAGGAAATTGGCGCAAAATGTTTTTAGTTATTTGGTTTGGCGTTGAATTTTCTGGGATAAAACGGTATCCTCGTATTCCAACTCAGTACTTAATTTGATTGATATGTTTTTATTATTTGGACATACGTTGAATTTTCTGGGATAAAACGGTATCCTCGTATTCCAACTCAGTACTTAATTTGATTGAACATTTCACACTACAGTCCTATCCTCTTTGGTACCAAACAAAGTGGCTGTTCACACTCGCGCTGAGAACATCCGTAACGAACCTTCTTTTAGAAGACCGTTTAGTCATCAGCCACATTGACATTTCATTGATTTCATTCCAGATGGATTACCAAAATCTGTCGTAACAAAAACCGAGTCTTTAGTGCTCCTTCTTGCTCAACCTGTTACCAAAAGGTACGAAGCCCAACCAAATAGCTGATGTCAGAGCATCAAAAGAACAATAGGCACTCGGCAGGCCATCACAAATGAAAGACTCAGCTGGATTCATTTGAGTCTTTCGTTAAGACCAAATTGGTCTGAAAATGACTGTTTTGCGGACACTATGCGTTACACTTAGAAACCCGATACTATTCTTAAGGCTAAAAAATCGTTCATCTGTAGCACCCTTTCGGTGCCTAGCTGCCGTGCCACCTAAAGGAAGCACGAGGGCTGGGATACTGCCAGGTTGCCCAAGCCTAAACAGGGGAAGTGGAGAGGCGGAGGTCGTGTTCAAACCACAGACCTTCCGGTCAGTAAATTCGCGCTCTAACCACATGGGCCATCTCGCCCCAAGGTTAAAAATTCATTTCGAATAAACTGCGGGTTCTCACACGGCTTTACCAAGCACAGCTACTGCCACTTCTCATGAACAATTCCCTGTAATTAGTGATAGACCCCTGAAACTTTCAGATCTCAACTTACTAGTCGTTCTCAAATCCACCTTTTCGTAGCACTGAGGCGAGCTATCCTTTAAGGCTCTTGTTATGGTGACCACCTGCAAGAATGACAGAATAGAACCCAAAGATCGAAGCTCTCGTGGACAATGCTTGGAACTAATCGGCTGCATTGGATTTGAGCAGTGAGCATTCAGTCATGCGGATATATGGTAACAGCACCCGGAACCAAATCCACGATTGCAGGCTTAGAACGACCAGGAGAAGTTGGAAAGTGTAGCATATTTCTTGTTCCTTGAATTGCAAGTCAAGTACGTACAATAGACGAAGAGACAAACACCTTGGGGAGGGGAGGGGGAGGGAACTGCTGCTCTCAAGTCTTCAGTGGATGATGAACTACCTGGGGCGCTGATCCTCATCGCACCCAAGCACATTCGATGTACAACCTCACTGCCCAGTAGATCAATGATCGAAGGCTGATAGTACCGTTAGTAAGCCAATTGTGGAACTCTCAAAGTGAGTCACAGCCGATGTTGTCCAGGTGCTCAAGAGACATACCGTGCGATGCATGTAACTATACTAAAAGTTGCCAACGTCGTCTTAGACCAGTAGACTTGTACGCTACGTACTTCGAACCCCAAAAACCTGTTCTTTTGATGTCAGATACGATCTGTACATTCAGGGTATTACCAGCTGAGGGTACAAACTAGTGCATCATAGTTGACAGGGTACCGTGAAAACAATGGGATACCAGGTCGTATAAATAACTGCCCATCTGATTTGTGTCAACCTTCCAGAAAAACTATTGGACATAACTTATGAAGTGCGAACTTACCGGAAACATTGATCCCCCGTCAGATTTCAATTGGCAGCCCTGCAAGGCACTTGTTTGGCTCAGGTAGTCCATTGCCTCGGGATTCTTGGTCAACTTTTGACGTCGAACTGCAACCGGTGGTCGTCCACGTTGTCCAATAGGGCTGCGAGAATGTCGGTTACCGCTGAGCGAAATTCTTTGTAGATCACCTGGCGTATCTAGCTGGTCTGTTTCTTCATTGGAACTACGATTGTCTGCAACAAGGTGTCGAGTGTTTCCTCCCTTAGGCCTGCTCACACGACGTTGTAATTCTTCTTGTTCAGCAATATCACCATGGCGACTTTTCAGATGATTCAACATTGTCGTTGTTGTCCCCGATGCGTTGAATGCAAGCTGACTATCACAAAGGATACATTGCGTTCGACTACGATCAGTTATTCCGGAGGCCAATTCGGGGTGATGGAAATATTTCCAAACGAATGACTTTTTGGCACATGCTTTGGGTGTACCGGTTGCAGTTTTCGGTCCACGTGAGGACTGCTCAGCTCCCCGTGAAGCGGTTTTTATCGTCAATTTCAGCGCTCGATCAGGCAGTGATTCGACATCTTCAGTGCAGTTGATTTTCATTGATTCTAAGGTTGTTTCCTTGGATAGACTAGAATCATGGTCAAATTCAGTGGTTTGTAACTCTCTCGGTTCTAGGTTTTCTTGATCCACGGACTTCGAGCACTCTGACCGTGCTTTGTAGAATGGGAAGTCAGGAGAAGAGTGAGATTCATTGTCCGCCTCATCATCATCTTCTGCTCCAGGACTACCGCATATGTATAATTCTCGTACGCCACTGGCTCCGCTCCCATCTTTTTCCGAGTCCAGTAGAGCTTCGCTCTCAATTTGGAAATCATTTACCGTTGACACTCCACAAGGTGACCGTAGAGATGTTGGCAACACTTGTGGTTCCATCATCCCCTACCGAATGGCAGATAGCGTAATGATTCGTGTAGCGTGTATGGTGAGCTTATCGGCTACTGCCCGCTCAAGTTTACAGATTGCTTTAATTGTTGGCACAGGTCGCCTGTCCACCCTTAAAGCGATCACGTCTGTAGCGATACACTTTAGTTCAAACAGCGGTCAATCGGCTAACTGATGTAGGTGTGCGAGTGTAAGCAGTGTATTGTCCGCCTGCTGTCTCTCTCACCATCTCTTCGCATTCTTTCACTATCCATGTGCCTGTGTGCGTGTGCCGGGGGCGGTTCGGCGATAAGCGAGTCCACCCACAAATTCTGTCTACCCCCACATTCGCACCTGCCTCGAACATTGACGAATCACGTTGGACGAAAGACCGAAAGGCCAACACGGGCAAGCGTGATTGGCAAGATGAGCTGCACATCTGAATGGGGGTGGGAGCTGGCAAAACGAGCAGCGGTATGGCCTATGAGCAACCCACGTCACACCCCTGTCGAGCCACTTCAGTTGCAGCTGCACATGGCCTCAATCGATCATGCGAGCTGGGTTCAGATGGCCTGTCTCGACCCCTGTGTGAAATCGAGAAGCTGATTGGCCCATCACTTTGAGTGGTGGTTTGGTGATTGGCTGATCCTACATTACACTCGAATTGGCTGCCCTTTGTTATCAGATCGGCCCATGGCTATAGGCTTGCGGAAGGCTGTGAAAATAAAGCGCATGAGGTAATGTGCGCGAACGGCTTGCTTATCAAGACGGGTTGTGCTGAAACGGATGAGTACGAACGTTTCTGTGGTAAAAAATATTCTCACTGGGGATGCAGCCGCACACTAACAACCGATCCGAACGGCTTCTTCACTTTCATTAACTAATGTCGGAATATGCAGAAAAAAATACTTCTGATTATTCGCAATATATCCGAAACCAACACGGTTGTTTGTCTTATATGGTATGTCAAATGTGTGAGTATGTAATCGAACCTCTGCAGTAGTTTAAGTTGACTGAACGGTTGAATAAACAGCAAACATTTTCAGCTAGTCCGTGGAGGTTCACAGATTTAAGAATGTGAGGGAAGTTTGAAAGGCTGGTTAAAAAAGGGGAACTTTCCTTTCAGTTGTTAGTTTACACTTTTAACCGAATCCTTCCCACACCGCTTAGAAATATGGCCCTGTTGAGACTGACTGTGGCCCCGACTTGTCGCTCATCCGACCGTCCTTACGAGGAGCCAGTACACAATATGGTGGTCTCTCTTATGTATGGAGTGCGAAATTAAGTTCAGAGCAACCTACAACCATGTTTCTTGTTGTGGTGACTGACGACTAATCCAGGGGACAGTTGATTCCTCTGACCATTTCCTCAAGGGATTGGGTGGGAAAAACGTCCGACAGCACTGAGGGTCTAAAGCCAAAGTACATAAACAAAAATTGCTTGGATGATTGCCAAAAGGCCTTGTTCGGGCTCACCCATCGAGGGCTGAAAACGGTTTATAAATAAAACCTCTGGATTGATTGATGAAACAGTAATCTGGTATCAGGTTCAGAATGAGCTGTAGTATTCTTTCGATGCCAAACTGCCATGCCACCAGAAGGAAGCAAGCGGGTTGGAGGGGAAGTCGACAGGCAGATGCCGGGTTTGAACCACGGACCCCTGGTCAGTAAATTCATGCTCTAGCCATTGAACCATCTTGCCCCCAATGAGCACATTGTCGTGGAAGGAATCAACCGATCGGCAGCTGAAGTATTCGTACAACATTTATTCATCCACAAGCAAGCTGTAGTTAGGTGTTTTCATATATGCTCCTGCTACAATCTGGTAGACGGGATAATTACTGATTCCCCGTATCAAAGAAGAGCTACTTGATTTTCACGAGAGACTCAACTGAATCGGTTTCGCCCTTCTTGGGCCCATCAGGTAGGCACAGTCCCCGAGATTCCGTCAAGCTTATGATCTACTTGAACCCAAATTAGACTGTTTTCAAAAAATACACTCATTTACAAATCAATTTGGTTTTCATGAGAGACTCAACTGAATCTCTCGTTTATGAAACATGAGACGGCCTGTGTGCAGCACATTCAGTTGTAGAATATCATAAAAGAGAGATTCAGCTGTGTTTCTCGTGAAAACCGAATTGATTTGCAAATGAGTGTATTTCTCGAAAACAGTCCAATTTGGGTTCAAGTAGAACATAAGGTTGACGGAAACTCGGGACTGCGCCTACCTGATGAGCTCGAAACAGAAGGGCGTAACCGGTCTTGGGTTGTCGAAGAGTTTTCAGCAACCTTGTGAGTAGTTTCCCTTGTGAAAAAAGAGCTAATTGAATTCAGTAGTGAGGTTTGTTCTTACGACCCGTCCATGGTAAAGAATGTGGTCACTATCCCCCACTCACAGGTTTTGTCAGCGATCACTTTATGATCAGTAATGTGCCTCCCTGTTGTATGATTTAGAACACTTGTGAGATGGACGCCACATGCCAGTTCTCGTGTTTCTGTAAATTGACGTTCGATGTACAGATCAGTGCACGCTGGTTGGTAAACGGCGGCCAATCAATTTTGTATATAAATGAAGGGACTTTGAGACAGTGAATATTCCCCGTCCCACCTGATTCTGACCTCAAGAGGTAGGTTATGCATGAAGGCACCATGTCTACTGCATTTATCAATCATAGGGTCGAAAAGTTACATCCAAAATATCATCGACAGCTTATTTGAAATTAAAAATTCAAACCCATACTTCATGGGTTTACCAACTGTTATTCGCAAGGCCATGCCATAAGATATTTCAACCTTACTAAGATGCACTAAACCAAATATAAATTCTACACAGCTGAGTGATGAGTCACCCAGAATGGAGGATACCATGGGTAAGAGGGGACTTTATGCTTTAAGACTACTCACATGGTCGCTGAAAACTTTTTGATTTCTCGAATATCGTACGAACTGAAACATGTAGCACATCCAGTTGAGCCTCTCGTGAGAATCAAATTTATATGCAAATGGGTGTATTTGTCAGGATTTTATGCTGTTCTGCGGGAGAGGGCGGACTGTCATCAAGGGTACTGTGTAGGGACCAGTGTCGTTGGAGCAGATGAAGAAGAAAAGGCATAAAAAGTGAGGATTTTTATTGCTCGGTTCTTCAAAGATGCTTAGGTATCAATGATTTAAACTCAGCCCAGTTTTAAAAAAGAAATTGTGATGACCTTTAGTTGTGTACAAGTTAGTTCAGGGTTGTAGACAATTTGGATCTGCGGTTTTTTGGGATGCAGCCTGCTTTGGATGCCCTTTTGGTCTAATTTGCGGCGTGGTATTCATCAGTATGGAAAAGGCAACTTCAGCCACAACATGACCAATTTGAAAGAAACACCAGGATGGTTGAATAGGTGATACCGTGGATTGCAGTTCTGACCAGTTGGGCTTCCCCTCAGACTGGATGCTGTTCCCTTTCTGACCAACTGCGTACTAGTCGTTTGGGAGGTGAGAATTTCTTTTATTATCGCTTTTGGTGATTTCACCTGTTTTTTTTCGTGTGTCTCTTTTGGCTGGCCTGGTTAGTTGACGAATTACTGTTCGCCAGAAAAAGATCAATCTCTGAAATCAATACGAGGACTAGTATTTTCGGAAAAATTCTGGGTATTGTACAGCTACATTCATATATGACCCAATCAAATGATCAGGAACCGCATCATTTGAAATTGGTTGAGTCCTCCCGAACTAGGCATGTTGCTTCTTACTCAAAGTTCAGAGCAAATCCGACAAACAAATTTGCCTGTGGTGTCTCGATAACACACGGTATAGCATACGGAGTTTTAGTCTTCTTTTATGCATACGATACAAAAAAACTGTTCATTCGGTGGACCACCAACTTTCGATTCATACAGATGCGGTAGCATACAGAACGGGACCAAAAACGTCGCTAGTTTGAATCAGTGCTGATCCAGCTGCTTTGACACGGATTCGATCTGAAGCGTGCAGTCTGATATGATCAACAGAAGACCCGAGTCATGCTGTACCTGATAGTCGAGCCTCTTCACTGTGCAAACGACCTTTTAGGTATGCTGCCCATCCTCTCTCAGGAAAAAGAGTAAAAACCTTCCGCCCTTCATGACCATCGTGAATGCCTGGAGTGTGGATGGACGAAAATGGTGTAAAACCAACTTGAATGGAGTGATAGTATTTCATTCGGTTGGACATTGATTTTAGTATATTTCACCAAGCAGGAGTTCACAGATGTCATATTATTTGTTAAATGACCATCTTTGAGTATATGTGGGTTTGAGCATGTTCCTAGCGGTTAACTGTCATTACGCGTCGAGATTTTGGGGGTCAGCAACATTTTGAAGACTCCGAGTTCACCATATGTTCATGCATAAGAACGTCTGATGTTTGAAGTCGATGAGGTTATCGGGTCAACATCACCGATGCAAGTATAGGCTATACACTCACAGGCTCTCCGACAAAGTGACAGGCTTGCAAAGATCAGCTTGCATTCAGCCTACCATTCATTATCGCCACAACCAACTTGACTCAGACACCAGCGGCCACCTGTCCTCGAACGGTCGAATGAATGTTGTAACGTGTCATCAACTCAGAGTTAATATTTCACCTAAGGACAATCCACATGTGGGCGGACTTGAAAGAAATCTCCGTAGGTGGTGACCCGGACGCAGTTATCCTGAGCTGCGATTAAGTGAACTCGGTTGCTATGCACGGTTGTACACGAGGTAATATTTTGTTAACCGTTTTAAAACATTTTGAAAACATTTTTCGCTCTTTACGCATCTAACGTGCATGAAAATCCTTGAGTGAACTTCAATTCTAGTTGTGCTGGAAGATCAAGGCACGCGATCATCCACACCAAGATCAACACAGTGAAAGGTCCCAACATAAAGTGGTCCTTTCAGAGAACTTGGTTATACGGAAATCTACGTTCAAATGAAAATACATTGTAGACTAATGAATAGGGACGAACCTGCCTCCCAGTCGTCATCACAGAAATGTGTGATAATGGTCACAAATGGAATTCACGGTAAAAACCACTGCGGTTACCTA